GATCGTGCCACTGCACTCCAGCCTGGGCAATACAGCAAGACTCCATCTCCAAAAAAAAAAAAAAAGGGTCTCACTATATTGCCCAGGCTGGTCTCAAACGATCGATCCTCCTGCCTCAGCTTTCCAAAGTATGGAATACAGGTGTGAACCACCACACCCAGATGTATTTTTAAAATAATTCAACGTATTACACTAAATTTATCCAAGTGACATATTTGAGGCAAGCAAGACTGCTGACCTAACAGCCCATGCTACCAGCTACCTGAGACCCACGATCTACCATCAGACCACAGCCAGTTCCCACTGCAGTGAAATAACATGAAAGTCTTTATCAATTGAGCAGTTTCTAATGTGAGAGTCAACACATCTGAAACATGAAGTTGAACGGTGGAAATTCAGTAAGTACTTTATTTATGAGTAAGGCTGTACAGGATTCAACAGTGTCTAATTCGAGTCTCATATATGACAGCTAAAATTTTTAAATGAGCAATTCAGCTTACGGTGAAATATATTTTCATCCAATCTTTTATGCTATATCATATCTCAGGCTTTTTAAAAATTATTTTTGAGATGAAATTTTAAAGTTCCCCCAGTACCCTGGTTACCATATTATAAAGATAGTGAAATACAAAAATGTAATAAAGATAGTGAAATACAAAAATGTAACAAATACTAACACACTGTGATTAATAGCTGTTTATTAGCTTTTTAATAAAGCAAAACTTTATAGTGAAATAAACTAGAAATAGCTTTTTATTTTATATATTTATTTTTGAGATGGGGTCTTGCTCTGTTGCCCAGGCTGGAGTGCAGTGGCACAATCTTGGCTCACTGCAGCCTCTGCCTTCACCTCCTGGGTTCAAGCAATTCTCCCACCTCAGCCTCCCATGTAGCTGGGATTACAGGCATGTGCTGCCATGCCCAGCTAATTTTTGCATTTTTAGTAGAGACAGGGTTTCACCATGTTGGCCAGGCTGGTCTTGAACTCCTGACCTCAGGTGATCCACCCACCTTGGCCTCCCAAAGTGCTGGGATTACAAAAGCTTTTAAAATGATATGCTTATAAAATGACAGACATGAGTGAAACATTCTCAATGACGATAACACACAAGTCACAAGTTTTCTGTGAGTGAAGCCGAGCAGTACAGAGTCAGGCTGACTGTTGAAAAGCCAGATTTACTTCTTGATATCACTGACCTCTTACTCTGAAATTGTGCCAGGGGAGCTTCTAAGTATCCCTGGTCTCAAGTTTAATAATGCAAAACTTCCACTTTATCATCTAAAGTTTTGGAGAGGAATCCCTTTGGCACTAATGATATCTACTCCAGCACCATCTCTCCTTTTTGGTGCCTCTTCATTCTTGAGTAGGGACTTATTGTATCATCCATCACAAAATCATACAGTACTTTTATCCAGGAATTGTAGTGGGGGAGGTTGTCATAGTATTCAGCAGCTATTTTCCTCACCTAGAAGGGAAAAAAATACAGCAAGATGAAAAATGAGTATTACTGGGTTCTTTCAAAGATGACTGATGAATGGTTGATACAAACACTGAGAAGGGAAACCATGAGACCTGCCTCCCTCCTCTCTCTTAAAAAATAAAAGCAGCAGCAGCAGCAGCAGAGGGAATTCTAAACAAAAAGCAGTCTACATTTCAGCAGCAGTTGAATACACTCGACCCTCTAGGACTCTCTTCCATCACGTTCCAAGGGACTAAATTCCTGGCTTATTTGTAAAATTAACAACGAATACATGCAATTAGATTAACTTGATATTATTAAAGAATGTACTGCATGGATGACACCGTAGAATATAAAGGCAACATCTGATCCCTGCCATCCAGGAACTTACAAATACTTACAAATAAATTGTGGCATGCTAATTAGATAGAAATTAAGCAGTTGGCTGGGTGTGGTGGCTCACAACTGTAATCCCAGGATTTTGGGAAGCCAAGGCAGGTGAATCACCTGAGGTCAAGAGTTCAAGACCAGCCTGACCAATATGGTGAAATCCCCATCTCTACTAAAAATAACAAAAAAATTAGCCAGACATGGTGGCATGCGCCTGCAGTCCCAGCAACTCAGGAGGCTGAGACAGGAGAATTGCATGAACCCGGGAGGTCGAGGCTG